TTTGGGTGCCCATCCCACAATGAGAGATGCACTCTCACCCTAGGCTATTGGGGGTGGGTCTAGACCCTACCCTGGATGAAATGACAGACTATGAACACCCCATGGAGGGCATCTCCCTCCCTGAGGAAATGGGGAGGTATTGAGAGATTGGTGGGAGGAGGGGAGGGAAAGGGAGAGGTAGCTTGGATTGACATGTGAAGCAACCCTGTTTCTAATTTAAATTTAAAAATAAAAATTAAAAATAAAGATAAACCAGTGTCCTATATTCACCTATGTGGGTCCTAGAGAGGTTAGTGTAAGAATGATTCTAGTTTTCCTCCCTCTTTCTGTACCTCTCAGTACAGAATATTAGTGTCTCATATATCATTACTCTCTATTTGGGTGTATCCTGGAGTCTTCTCAGGAGCAGAAAGGAAGTTAGGCAGGGTTTTTATGATGCCAAGAGGAAAAGTATATATGTCTTGGCTGACACAGGATAGTGCATTCAGAAATAACATGGGATGATACTAAGTGTGAGGTGGGGATTTGTGGGGCAGGGAACTTAAGGTTGGAACAGAAGATGGGGCTGAATCTGTAGGACGTTTAACTTCTATGGATGCGATGTCTGTTCTGTCTAGGAAGAACATAGGTGGGAGGAAAGTGGAAGTGGCAAACAGCATGCTATATTTACAACAAACCCTCCACCTACTGCCAAGGTCTTCCTTACTAGTTCAAAATCCTCCTAGGCTGTTGCTTTTTACCCGAGAGTCAGAGCTTTCTTGATCTTTCATAGATTTCCTGTCAGTTAAGACCTGTTGACTGACTACATGTGCTCAGTCAGGTGACAATCAGATTCTAGAGCTATATGGAAAATACAGTTATCCTATTTGTGGGATAATGTATGTCCTAATCAAAATTTGTGGTGCCTATCTTCAGGATTCTAAAAGTCATGCAAATACTCTACAGATTTTGACTTTTAGTTAAAGGTTAACCCTGAAGTGAGTGAGGATTGGAAATATTTTTCCTAACAAGAGAAACACAAATTATCCATAGTGCCTCTTCCTTCCGTATGTGCATGTTTTATGTGCTTGTTGATTGACCCATGAAAGCTAGCGTTCTTAATTGCTCTTATCACAGAGATGATATCATACTCTTCTTGAGAGTCCTTCTTGGGTCAGCTGGTTGGGACCACCAAACTAGTTTCAACTTCTCTGACAAAATAGACCACATGCTCTCGGAAGGACAGCCAGAGAAATATAAAACAATAATTTGGCAAATTTCATACTTCTTTAAAAGCTCACAGACCTTATCATATCTATCAAGGGCATACTGCTTTCCCCTTAGAAAAGACGTCATGTTACGTGTGTGTGGCAACACTAGTCACTAAAGCCTGACAAAATACTTGTTTCAGTCATGATGACAAAAACAAATGCCTGCATTTGGAAAATTTCCACTAGGGAAGCCAGTAGTATTAATAGATGGAACTCATTGTGCTATTAAAATGTACTCCAATTGAAGTGTTTATTTGTAGGATAATGCTCTGTAGTATGGCCTACAAGCTTGAAAAAGAAGGAAAAGTCCAATTTTTATTTTCAATTTCTTTGTAAAATAGCTTTTGTGTCTTAGCTATTGGTGTAATTCATTCTGTTTGTGACTTTTACTGTTTGTTTTGAAGAGAAAATCAGTTTACCACTTCTTTGTCTTTTATTCTATTCAATTGAATGGCTTTTCTGGTATATTATTGCTTCAGGTTCTTGACTAATAAGCCCTTTGTTTTAATTACTTGTTTCTAACATTTAGTTCTGCATTTGATATTAACTTGTTAGCAGCTAGAGTAATATGGGGTCATACTTTTGAAAACTACACAACTTTGGTAACAAACTTGAGAATAAGATATATGAGTCTGTAATTGTTACTTTGCTGATTTCATTATTTTCCAGGAAAAATACGCCATTAGTTTGACATGATCACACACTCGAAAGGATGTTTTCAGTTTGGTACTATAAGAAATCCCTAAATTTTCTGTGATTCTGTGAAAAAAATATATAGTTTCAGGAGCTGCATGTATCAGCAAATTTTATTTATTTGCTTGGAGTGGAAATGTTTATAATAAGGCTAAGTAAACCAATAAAGTGTCTCATGAAGTAAAATGTCTTAGAGTTGGCTATAAAGACAAAACTTGAAATTCCAAGAAATGAACATTATTTTTTGATGCTTTTGGCTTGTATTACATTTGTGTGAATGGCTGAGGGCCAATGACATTAACGTCACAGGCAAACTTGCTTTAGCAGAGGAAAACTTTGAGTTGTACCAGAATATACAGAAAGTCTTGGGATCACAAGGCACAGAGAGATCTAGAGCCAATGATCTTCCCAGGAGAATCTCAAGACTCAGAGAAAACAGCAAGAGAAAATTTCTTCCCTACAATGGAGACAGAAGTCAGCTCCACTCTATAATGTGCAGTGGTATTATCCCAGGAAAACCTGAACAGTAATAATTATATCTTGGGCTTACTGTTTGTCAGGCACTTTACATATCCTAGCTCTTTAAATCTTCCTACTAGTCCTCAAGTATCCTCAAGGTGGTCAAATCGGGGCTCATGGAGACTATGTGGCCAAGGCTAGAAGGTGAGTAAGGAGAAGAAACAACAGGATATCCTGCTCCAGCATCTTGTGTGTTCCTGTGAAAATGTGGGAAGGGGGCTGATTGCAGCAACCCAACTATGGGGGGAGCCTAACCAGCTTTAAATGTGTCTTGGTTTAGAACTCTGAAGAACTGTTTACATTTCCAGGACTTAGTCTGGATCCCTTCAGACCTAGTTAGCTTAGTTCTCTGAGGTGCAGAAAGGGAGGAGGAAGAGCAGACAGCAAGAACATGTGTGCAGGAGCCAAAGAGAAAGAAGAAGGCTTTGTCAAGGGCAGGAGAGTGTGTTTTCAAGTAATATACCTGAGGAAATCCAGTAAGAGTAGTGCTACACATTTTCCCATAGCCTAGGATAATGGTTCCCCATCACACCAGCTTGCATCATCTAAGCTAGAGTGACTTACAGTAACCCCATTAACATTTTGGAATAGATAATTTGGGGCTGTGCATGGTGTCCTGGCCCCCATGGGTTGCTGACCACCATTTCTGACTTCTCTACACTTGTTAACAATAGCATTATTTGCAATGTCACTAAATAGTGCTTAACACCCACAAGTGCACAACCAGGACTATATATTGTTGTGACCTAGGTATTTTGAAGGGAATATTTTAAAACTTAAGTAATATTAATAACATTCCTATGAACCTCTGTTTAAGGATATGACACCTTGATGGCTAAAACAACCTGGATGCTAAAATGGCATTGTGTTAGTTATTAGGGCTCATATAGATATAAGGGAAATAGTAGTAAAAATACTGATTTTTATCAGTTTCCAAAATATTAGCATTATGGCTAACAATATGGCTGATATATCACTAGCCAGAGAGAACATTTAAAATTGTTTTATTCTTCACTTAGTAAAGTAGAGAATACACAGGCTGTGTAAGTAAGAAGGAAAAGCATAACAACTGATATTTACACTAAACATTGCCTCTCTCTTTTAACTGCCTGGAATTAAGGAGTTTACTGTCAGGGGGACCTTTCAGCTCCCAACTGTAAAATCCAGGCCTCTTTCACGATGATTTCACTGGCCATTTACCCTTCTTTGGATATTTCTATTATAAAGCTATTATATCATATTTCACTTTTCTCAGCTACGTTTTGTTTGTGAGAAAAAAGGCTACCTTTATGATATCATACTTACACTTTTTCTAGTGTCTAAGAAAAGAATATTTTAGGGGTCACTTATGTATACTATTATATTATCTGCAAATAGTGAAAGTCTGACTTCTTCCTTTCCAGTTGAATCTGCTTGTCATCTTATTGCTCTAGCTAGAGCTTTGAGTACTATATTAAATAAATATAGACAGAATGGATAACCTTGTCTTGTTTCTGATTTTAGTGGAATCACTTTGAGTTTCTTTACATTTAATTTGATACTTGCTATCACCTTGCTGTAAATTGCATTTATTATGTTTAGGTATGTTCCTTATATCCCTGATCTCTCCAAGACCCAGGGATCGATGAGGTTAACCCCAGTTAACACTCCTAGCAATAGTGGAAAAGGTACTTGAACTGGCCTTCCCCTGTAATTGGATTGGTGACTACCATAACTGTCATCATAGAACCTTCATCCAGTACCTGATGGAAGAAGATGCAGAGATCCACAGCCAATCACCAGGTTGAGCTACAGGAGTCCCATTGAAGAGAAGGAAGAGGGATTATATGAGCAATGGTGGGAGGACAAGGTGATGACAGGAAAATCCATAGAGACAACTGACCTAGCTCATGGGAGTTCAGGGACTCTAAACCAACAGCTAGGGATCCTGCAAAGGACCCAACCAGGCCCCCTGCATGTGGACAACAGTTGTGTAGCTTGGTCTGTTGAGAAGGCCCTGGCAGTGAGGCCAGGTTCTATCCCTGGTTTGGGAGTTGGCTTTTTGGAACCCCTTTTCTATGGTGGGATGCCTCGCTCCGATTGTTACAGAGGGTAGAGGCTTGATCCTGACTTAATTTCATGTCCCAGGCTTTGTTGACTCCCCATGGGTGGCCTTAGACTTTGTGAGGCATGTATGGGAGGGTGAGTTGAATAGGCGGTGCAGGCAGAACAGGAGGAGGGGAGAGATGGGGAACTGTGGCTGGTATGTAAAATGAGTGAAAAGTTTTAAAGAATAGATTACTTTGTGCATGTTTGGGACTATAACTTTTGAGCACACCAGGCTGCTGTTACGTGCCTGATGGTCACTGGACTCTCTCAGTACAGAGAAAGCGTTGCAGACCCACTGCTTTTCTAGATGACTGTCCTGTCTTCTCTCTGCACATGCTGCAGCAAGGTCTTTCTATTCCCTGCTTAGTCTTGGTTCCCCAAGGTCTAACATGGTAATTGGCCAATAAGAGGCTCTTAATAAACATATTTGTTGAATGATGAAATAGAGTAGTAGATTGGCCAGATACTGGTGTATTGAAATACTGGAAATTTTCAAAGTGAGTTTCATATGCAGCACGGCCAGTTGACAACCTTTTGCCAAGCAGAGTACACAGCCTTATGCATAGAGAGCTGCCACAGGCAGACTTGGACAAGATTGCCAGCATTGTTTGCTGTTAGCTTCCTGACCCTCTAAAGTTACTTAACTTTGCTAATCCATGTTTGTAAGATATTTGTGCTGATGGTTTGCTCTTGAAGGATTGTTTTGGACTTTACTTGAAATAACGAAGGAAAATTAACTGAATGGTACATGGTTCTGAAGAGGTGCTCAGTAATTCTGAGTGAGGAGAGAAGGGTAGTTCTTCGTAATCCTGCCTTCCCATTTTTGTCTAAAGAGAAAGATGTGTGAGCTGGCTCCAGGTGCTTAGAAAGATTATCATACCAAGAGTTAATTCAGGTAAGTCTATCATGTTTTCAACCTCCAAGCCCCATGTATCACCTCTATTGCTACTTTCCTTCTTTTCTGTATGTGTGCAAGGGTGAAACACGTAATCTGGACAAGCAGGTCATCTTTATATGTGTGACTAGCCACATAAAAACCCAGAGTCTCATCCACAGGTCAGACGGTCTGGATCCATACAAAACAAGATACAAATAGTCTTTTGATGTCACCCCCATTATGCAGGTATGAGAAATTAGAAATGACATTTTTTAAAAAGTTGATCAATAACTGTTAACTATAGATGAAGAATGCAATACCCAATATTTTATTTTAGTGTTAGCAAAATACTTAAACATATCTGCAGAAGTTTGTTTATTGGAATCCTTAACAGGCTTTAGATCTTTAAGAACATTTTTAAATAATAATGGGTTTATAGAGCTTTGTGCTGTAAATCTGGTTGTTAATTGCTTTGTCATATAACAGAATGATAAAAGTAAATTGAAGAATTTCCTTTGATTCAATCATCCATCATCTGCTTATAACTGGGAGACAGATGACTCATTTTGGTTCATATTGCTGATTGGCTGTTGATGATAATTGCTTTTTGATTGGTTTGGGAATATTGGAATGTGAGATTCTATGGTGAGATTTATAACATGGGGAAAATTTTTATTAAGCCTTAAAGAACAACAAAAAATGTGTTTATAAAATGAATTTTAATTATGTTCCATTGGGGTAAAACCATATTCATATTTCATGATTAAATATAAACCATTTAGAATTATGAAATTTCTAATGATCAAATATTCATGCTTTTTTGAAAACAATAAAACTACAAAATAATATGGAGTTAGGACTCAGGAGAATTTTCTCTGTTGCTTTTTCTGACTGCTGACTATGACATTCATCATCACAAATAAATTCCATAATAATAATATTGATGAATCAAGATATGCTGATTCCTGTGCCATATATTTCTTCACTGGTCCTTTGCTTAATAGTCATCCCAGTCCTCTGTTTAGAGTCAGAGCTGGTAAAGAGAAATTGGCTTTCCCAGGTCTATCTGGGTCAGTAGACCCTAGATAAACTGTTGGATGTGGTGATTCCCAATTCACATTGATTAGCAAAGTCAGCTGAAGTTTGTATTTAAGACAGAAAGACATACTTGTGCTACTAGTATTTGGAAGTCAGAACCTAAATGTGAAGATGAAGAAGAAAGCATACTCTGGCTTGTGATATACATATCTCCATGGGGCATAACTTGGAAAATTACCTAGACATACTGGAATGCATCTCAAACCAATTCTCAGCAAGTTTTAACTGGGGAATCCCAACTGTTTTAGGGTTCCTACTTCTGTAAAGAGACAACATGACTACAGCAACTCATAAAAGAAAACATTTGGTTGGGGTGGTTCATTTAAAGTTTCAGAGGTTCAGTCCATTATCATCATACAGGGGATCAGCGTGGTGTGCAGGCAGTCATGGTGCTGGAGAAGCAGCTGAGAGTCGTCCATCTTGGGAAGCTTGAGGAAAAGAGACCTCAGAGCCCACCTCCATGCTTCCTTCAACAAGGCTATACCTACTTCAACAAGTCCCCACTTCCTGATGTCCCTATGAACTTATGGAGGCTAATTACATTCAAACTACTACACCAACTTTTATGCAATATTAAATGAAAGAAAAATGGAAAAAGTTAATGTCTGCTCTCTTCCATTTTACCCAATACACTTGTCCCTCATTACCTCTATTTGGGGAATCTTTTTATCAATTTAATCATCATTCAAGCTAGATTCACTCTCACTGCTTGTTCAATGAGTCCTCTCCTGTATATGCTCACTCTCTTCTATTCCAAATCCACCAAAACTTGAGGAAAGCTTATTCTTGTTCTCTTTTCCATTTAAATGACCTTGATTTTGCTTTTGGGACCTCAGGGGAGTACTAGTCTTCTTCAGTTACTACCCTCATTCCAAATGAGTTATTCTTCTCTCTAAAGACCCTTAAATGAAAAGCATCCCCAAGCTAAATATTTTAGCCATAACTTCCAAACTATTTTGAAATTCTTGCTTCTTGGTACTCTTAAGTCAATCAGAGATGTTCATATTCTCATCCGTCTAGAATGGCAAGGTATATGAACAGTTGGTTTTTTGAGGGATAGGGGTAGGGAGATGGCTGACTGGGTCAAGTGCTTGCCTTACATTGTAAGGAACTGAGTTTATATCCCCAGAGGTCTGGTAAAAGGGAACACTATAGATAGTGTCTGTAATCCAGAGCTTCTGTGGTGAGATGAGGGGTAGAATGTAGGAGAATCCCTCAAAGTTCATCAGCCAGCTCACTTAGCACTCACAGTGGTGAACAGCCAGAGATCCTGGCAAAACAAGAAAGAAGGTATGTGCTCATACATACATGGACACACACATGTCTACATACACACATCATACATGCATACATATCAAGAAAATAGAAAATTATTACAGCAAACAAGAAATGAAGATTAAATCTATAGAATTTTGCCATGGTTTCAAATGAAAGATCAAATCTGTGTAGGTAGAGATCTCAGTATCATGCTGTGAATAATGCACAATTTAGTTAATAATTCCATTTGGAATTTCCATTCTGATTACCTTTGTGATATTTTCAATTTCTGCTTCATTTCCTTCCCTTAATTTTTTTAAGACTTTTTTTATTTAACTTAGAAACAAGCTTGCTTCCTTCCCCTAATTTTTTAATGAACTGATGATCAATATTACTAAAACAAATATGAAGCAACTTTTCAAATGTTTCTCATAATTCTGTCTGACATCTCTAAAAATGTCTTATCGTCCTAGTATCTTTGCAGCCTTCTATTTCTTTGCTGTGACCCTTTCTCCATCCTGCATTCATTAACACTGCCTTGTACTTGGCTTGTAGCAGAAATATTTGCTTTCACTTCCACTGGGAGGAAATAAAAGGCCAGGGATAATTTTTTTTCAAAATCTGTTACATCTTTCAGTATATTCTTTAGGTGACAAAAACTGTCAAACTGAATGAATGCAATTATGATTTCTTGATAAGACAGGAGGGAAAAGAAGCCTTTGCAAAATGCATGACTTTCTTTCTTTAGAAGGGTCAGCCACAGAAATGTGCTGGTATTTCTTCACTCAAGAGTACTGGGGACTCATTGGTGATGATGGCAGAAGCTAGCCACTCACCTGTGCTTCTCCCTGCAAGACACAAAACATCCCTGACAGTCTAGCATCTTAGTGTGAGGTGCGACTCTTCATTTATACTTGCGGGAGCTTTGCTTTATTATACTTCAACAAAGAAAATAAATTTGCAGAATTAAACCTAACAATAGGTAAATTCATTGATGTAGGATGAGATTTGAGGATTTGTAGGAAATGTTATTCCTTCTCACCATCTCTTTCTAACCTCCCCTACTAAGGATCATGGCTCTGGTTAACTGTCCACTTCCTCCACCTGAATTACAAGTTTCTAACTGATGACCTTGAGTGCTATGAAAAGTCAAGAACACCTTTCTATTTTGCAAGGAAGAACAATGTTGTTCCTTTGCAGAGGCCTCACTATGGTTTCTATGGAATGTAAACATGTGACTAGTGACTAGTAGTAAAGTGACTAATATCACTTTCAAGTATTCCTGGTGCAGATTTGCTCCTGGAAGATGTAGCCTCATTAGGATGGAATCCTGAGGATTTACGTATCTGAAGTGCTTCTGAAGAGGTTAAAAAAGGCACAGGAGGAGACAAACTTGGAGCACAAACAACATGGCCCTTTTGAAAGACCTTTTTATGGAACCTCTGACTTGCTGACCTTTCACTTGTACTGTTTTCAGCCTCCCTGCTAACCTCACCTCGGCCTTTCCGTGGCAGCTGAGACAGAGGATTCTAAATAAGAACACCCAACCACCTCATAATAATTGAGCCTTGGGAAACCAGGTGACAAATGGCAGTCTCACATCCACACAATTGTGAATGCACTCATTTAAAATTCCATCTCTTATTTAAACTGTGTGCATTTGGTGCTTTTTGAGCAACACTTTCCCATAGCACAGTCTAAATATGAACAATTTGTGCTTTAATTAAAAGAAGGTTTTTACATGAAGCAGAGTAGTTCTTTATTCTTTGACCACAACTATTAGCATATTGTTAGCTGGACATTTGAGCATATGTTAAATAAAAATGTTTGTATGCATATATCATAGTATTATACACACATTTATCAGTGCACATTTATCCAACCATATGCAATATACACAAATGCACAGAGAGTAATGTGAAACAAACTATTGCTGTTCTCATTAGCTTTAATAATTGACAGCACTTGAACTTCTGGGAGCCCACATTTATTTTTCCTGTTTCTCCTTGGACACAGGAGTTACCTTGGATAACCTGTTCCAGAGTTTTATAACCTGCTCTCCAAACTGTACAAATTACTCTGAAGTGCAAACCACAATGGAAGTGATCCAGGCTCAAATTCTTGGCTGTGTCACACTATATCTTAGCTGTTTGCCAAGTTTCTTCATTGTTCAGAGTAGTTTATAAAAATGTCCGGCTAGGCCAGGATTGAGTACTGGCAAGAAGGTGTTCTCCTTTGCATTTATTATTGGCAGCTACTAAGATAACTGGAGGAAGAGATCAGTATCAATTAAATAGTGTATCTCTGTCCAGAACATTTCTTATTATCCTAAACATATAATTAATTTGTACCATGGAGGCTCCATCTGAGATATATCACTGGAGAGTAAAGGAATGAACCAAGACTTATGGGGACTTGCTGATAGGAAACATTGCTACTGTTGACTTCTTGCTTGGGTAAATCTTTACATGCCTCAGTGGCTTCATTACAAATGTCATTGAAAAATCATTTGGAATTTCATGAGACTCCCATGACATTTAAACACATTGCTGTATAATTGAAAGAAAGCAAATAGCATTCAAACTGTGGTCATCATCTATTTTAACCTTAGTATAATGTTACATCAGAATAGCAGGAAGACTAATTATGTAATGGACACTAGAGAAGGTAGAAAGACTTCTGTCTGAGGAGGCCAGCAGCTACTTACATCAGTCATCATAACAATTGGTTAAACAAGAAAAACAATGTAAGAAAGTATCAACAGGGCAGTCATGGAATATGCATTTAATAACAGCACTGCAGCCAGGCATTGGTAGTGCACGCCTTTAATCCCTGCACTCAGGAGGCAGAGGCAGGCAGATCTCTGTGAGTTTGAGGCCAGCCTCCAAAACAATACAGAGAATCCCTGTCTCAAAAAAAAACATAAATAAATAAATAAATAAATAACAGCACTGTAGAGGCAGAGGCAGGGGCAGGGGGACAGGGGCAAGGGAGCAGGGGCAGGGGGACAGGGGCAAGGGAGCAGGGGCAGGGGGGCAGGGGAAGGGGGCAGGGACAGAGGGGCAGGGGCACAGGGGAAGGGGCAGGAGCAGGGGGTAGAGGCAGAGGCAGAGAAATCTCTGTGAGTTCAAGGCCAGACTGGTCTTTAGAGAGAATTCAGGATAACCAGGTGTACATAAAGAAACCCTTCCTTGACAAAAAACAAAAACAAAACCAACAACAACAAAGGAAAGAGAGAAAGAAAGAAAGGCAGAAGCAAAAAAAGGAATGAAGGAAGAGTACCATTAAAGGCCATTAAAAGAAGGACAAAACAGGAATCCAACTATTACCACAATTACTTAACAACCTTCCAGTCCACTAGGAAAGAACAAGATAGAGGAAGACTTGAGGATGGTGAGAAATGGAGGAAATTTGCCATTTTAATAGCTTGATTGTCTAAGTATAAATCAAAAGATAACCAACTACATGTTATAGGTGTGTTAGAAGAAGTATTGAGTTTTGAGAGACTAACAAAAACTCGTCAGTAAGGCTCTATTTTTATACTATTGAATCATTCATTTGAAAAGGAGTAGAAACATAGTCAAAATACCTAACATAGCAGCAAGAAATGCATGAGGCTTTTATGAGTAAAATTCTAAAGATGTCCTTGAAAGACATAAAATTCAACTTAAAACAGAAAATAGTTATGTTAATTTCTTGAACAGACATATTAATTCAATTATAATAAAATACAGATATAAGGATTTTTGTTTCTTTCCTAGTACCTGAACAAATGATTAGGAAGTTAGTTTGGAAAACCGAATATCTGAAAAAGGTGACTATTCAAGGGGACACAGAATGCATTGAAATGCAGAGTGAATAGGTAGGCCAGGTGGCACACACTTGCAATCCCACAGCTCAAGAGGCTGAGCATGAGGACTAAAGATGTGAGGCCAACTACAGAAGTACCGCAAGATCTCGTCAAAGAAAAGAAGAAAGGAAAGGAAAGGAAGGAAGGAAGGAAGGAAGGAAGGAAGGAAGGAAGGAAGGAAGGAAGGAAGGAAGAGAGGGAGGGAGGGAGGAAGGAAGGAAGGGAAGAAGACTAAGAGAAAGAAAGAGAGGATGGAAAGGAAAGGGAAAGAGAGGGAGAGGGAGAAAGTTGACAATGTTACCAAAAGAATGTGGTTCTTGAATAAATACAAGGAGTTAGAAGTTAACGTGAATTTTGTACTGCTATTCTATTCCCTGAGTACTTACCCTTATTCACCAAATCTCATTTAACAGGCCTAGTTCCTGTTCACCCCACACCAATTACTTTGTGGTTACATAAACAAATAATAATCACTGGAA